ATGGGTGCTTGCGTGTACTGGTCCCTGCTCCTGTTCTTAGCTGCATAGCTCAGAAAGAACTGCACATTTTTTGTAGGAAAAATAAAGCAAAGGGCTACAGTGATTGACTCCATCCTCTTCAAAATGCTTTGCAAATATGAAAAAAAGAATATGCTTGGATTCTTTTAAATGAAAACGGATGTGAAAGCCAAGAGGAGCATAAAACTAGCTCAAAAAAGAAAGAGTATTTATTGGCTTGCTCAAAAAATAACAACAGAAGTAGCAACAACTACTTACTGAATGCTAGAGAAACAGCAACAGCCTTTAGTTTCTAAAAGTGGCTTTTCAGGCTTATCAAGAACATAAAATGTCTCATGATGAAAAAAGACATGCTGGAGAAGGCTCTTATTTCAAAGAATTGAAAGTAAAATGTTGCAGCAAAGCAACCAAGCTGTGGATAATTTTGGCAAGAAGGAAGAGATTGCCCTTCATCAGATGGCTAGGTATAAAATAACAGGAGTGGGATCCTATCAGAAAGTAGAGGGAGGGAAATAAAGAAGTTTTGCTGTTAATCAAATGTTCGTGGGCCACTCTGGTAACTGTGTTTTTTTTCTAAATGGTAGCTGATATTTGGGGGTTACATTTCCTTAAGATGGGGAAGCATGTTAGAAAAAACCATCGTTCCAGAATTTTCAGAATTCTGGCATTGTTGTTTCAGATACTTGAAAATAGCTACAGAGCCTGCGTTTTTCTAATTTACACTGTAAAAACCTTTCTTTTTCAACAGATTTGTATCTGTGCTCAAATAAAATTCCCATCTCTCCATTTTGCTCACAAATGGGGCATTCCTTTAATTAAGTGAAGTGGAGGCAATTGTATGCTTGTAGCTCTGTGATACGAGTGGCAATTACAAGTAATATTCAGAGAATTACAACCATTTGAAAGCCATGCGTACTTTGTTCTAGTCCTTCCTATCCATTCTACTCAACAAAAAAGTAGAAGACTAGCATATCAAATGGGGAAGGAAGGAAAAGATTTATTACAGTTCTGACTCTATATTTTCCCAAAGGAAATTGTAACTATCAGGTACCCAGCTGATTCTTATAATGCAATTTTCTTGCTGTTGGAAGCTGCCTGTTGGTTAAATAAATATGATATATGTGGACAAAATTGTACTTCCCTGGCATGACAGAAAATTTCTACCTGAGATAGAAAGGCAGATTTGTCATGGTCTCAGAAAAACTTTGAACAAGAAAAGCCATACTTCTGGCCCCATTTTAACGATTATTTATCTTGTATTATGTGGCAATCGTGTCATGAGAACTTACTTTGGAATGCAGTTCCAAACTGACGCTTGCTTAGGACAGTGTTGATTTCTGTACAGAAGTAATGGGGCTATACTTGAAAATAAGGTTCTGCAATTTGCTTAATAAAGAAGTCTCTACCAATTGTTAGCATGCCATCAACTATAAGCACATTAATTTAAATCTAAAGAAAATCCAAGCAGCTGATTTCTTACTCCTCTCATGCAAATGCTTTTGAGTATTTGAATATGTCTGCATCAAAAGAAACCAGCTTTTTAGAGAGCCAGTTAGCTTGAGTTGCCAAGCCAACAAGTTCTGGTAAGGTCAGTCTGTCACAACAGATCTGATTATTACACAGTTATTTTCTTTATGTTTGCAGGTTTCTCCATATGCTTTAAGATGGAAAGGGTAGTGGGATAATGCCCTTCTGCTGAATTTGCTTGTAATACGCATTCTTTCTTACTCTTTGTGAAGAATGTTGTGAGAGGGGCAGAGTACAGATGGTCAATTTTTAAGTTGGTGCCTGTATGACCTGTTTAATCTGCATAATTAGAAAATAGGAAAATTGTCTATGATGCTTGTGCTGACTTCATTTCTAGGTCTTTTTGAGCTCATTTAAAGTATGGTAACGAGAAAAACATTTTACCTTTGGGCAGCAATCTGATTTGTCAGGAAATTCCTCTTTCTGTGATGGGTGGATGAGGAAAATCTGGAATAATGTGATCCAGATGTTGAAGCTTCCATTTAGCAGCAATATATATGTATTATTTTATGGAATTATCCAGACCTTAAAGTATTAATAATAAATCAATACTGGAATTTTCAACTATAGGAATAGATTTGTATCTTTCATCCACATGACAGAATATTTCTGCGTTTCAGCTAGAGGCTAAAAGTATGAAAATTAACAGCAAGACAAACATAACACTTAATAAGGAATTTTGAAACAGTTTATGCAAATGCATGCTAATTGGCCTGTTTATAGGACTACCCAGGAGAAGGCTGTGATACCATTTTTCAGCTAATTAGGACTCTATTTTAGAGCGAATGTTGTAACAAATCTCTAATATAGATTTGTATGAGAAAGCAGCCAATTTACTGAAAATTTATTCTATTCTCTCTGCAGCTTACACAATGACAACCTACCAGGAAAAATAAAAAAAGCACACTGCAGTATGTAGGCATATCATAGAAGGATTGTGCTGGAGAACTGCAAGGCAGGCAACAGGGAGCTTTTGGTAGCTTTGGGTGAGTTAAATTCATCCCATCAGCTCTGTCTTGTTTTTTCTTTCTACAGACTTTCATCAACAGCAGTCATCCCAGCTGCTGTTGAGCCTGGAGATGAATACCGAAGAGTCTGAATTTATTCCTTAAATCCACATCTGGATTTAAATAAATACCTCAGTAGAAGAAGTTCAACCTATTCAACATAACATTGGCATTTCAGGCCACTCTGCAAAACACACAGGATCTGTGCAACTGGAATTGTGGTTTATTTACCCATAACATTTACAGTGCTTGGATTTAATTTATCCTTCAGATGAGCATCTTCTGGTAAAACTGGGACTAGAAACTGATAAGATTTCTTCTTCAATAGATTTTTCTTTGACTGTACTGGAATTGTTCCTGGCTGGTCTCTTCACCCGACATCTCAACAAATGAAATCCGAATTGTTGGAGCTTCAGGTTGTCTTACTTCTTGATTCTTATTAATCACATAGTTAGCTTGCAACTTATATTTACGATATTATGACAGGAAGGGAAAAACCTGAAATTTTATTCAGCCACTGCACTCATTCATTGAATCTCTTAATACTGAAACTTAATGTTTCAAGTATGATAATGACTGTTGCTGGGGGGAAAAGAAAAAAGGAAAAGGAAAAGGAAAAGGAAAAGGAAAAGGAAAAGGAAAAGGAAGAGGAATAGGAAAAGGAAAAGGAAGAGGAAAAGGAAGAGGAAGAGGAAGAGGAAAAGGAAAAGGAAAAGGAAAAGGAAAAGGAAAAGGAAAAGGAAAAAAAGAGAAAAGAAAAAAAAAAGAAAAGGAAAAAGAAAAGGAAAAAGAAAGAAAAAGAAAAGGAAAAAGAAAAAGAAAAAGAAAAAGAAAAAGAAAAAGAAAAAGAAAAAGAAAAAGAAAAAGAAAAAGAAAAAGAAAAAGAAAAAGAAAAAAAGAAAAAAGAAAAAAGAAAAAAGAAAAAGAAAAAAAGAAAAAAGAAAAAGAAATAACTTAAATCTGCAGTTTGAGGGAAGCAGGAGCTAACTGTACTACGAATCTTGTTGATATTTAGTTCTGGTATTCTGGTCAAGAATCAACTCACTGTGGCTTTGTGATAGGGTCAAGACTGACAGCGCCATGGATTTTAATGCGACACTGCTTTTTTAGGGACTGTACAATGGAACGACGCACAGCGATTTTGCAGAGATCTCTTTTATCCGCACAGCTTCCACCATTGGTGTAAGTACTAGGGACTAGACTAGAAGTGAGTTCCTGAATTTTTGAGTTCCTGGACTTGTGAGAAAAAGACCTACTGGATACTCTGGCAGTCAATCAACGTTTTCCCTTAAGGAGAGCAGCTCTTGTGCCACAGACAAACTGTCAAACTCTCTTGCTGAAGGAACAGGGATTATTCAGCCTGGAGAAGAGGAGGCACAGGGGATGCCTTATCACTTTCAACAGCTCCCTGAAAGGAGGCAGTGGCAAAGGTGGGGGTCAGCCTCTTTTCCTAGGTATAGGATAGGATGAGAGGTAATTTCCTCAGGATGTGCCAGGGGAGGGTTCAGACTGGATATTAGGAAACATTTATTCTGAGAAAGAGCTGTAAGGCACTGGAACAGGCTGTCCAGAGAGGTGGTGGTGTCACCATCCCTGGAGGTGTTCAAGAGATGTGGAGTTACAGCACTGAGGGACACAGGTTAGTGGGCATGATGGGGATGGGCTGATAGTCAGACTACAAGATTTTACAGGTCTTTTCCAACCTTAATGATTCCATGATCTTATCATTAGAAGTTTGGCCTTAATTAATTACTAGCCTGTGAAATATACCAGAGTTTCCAACAGGTGGTTTCCTGCAGACAAGAGATTACAAAATTTCCTAACTGTCATGGCAAGACAGGTTCACAAAACAATCTTCTTGCAAAAGAATCTTGTTCTCCTGTCCTTTTTATAGTTGCTTATTGAGTAGTTCTTCTTCTGTAGTTCTTATGTACTTCTGTCTTCCCTTTCCTCTTATGTCTCAGTTTGTCAAAATCAAGCAGACAGTTGCAAAAGATCTTGAAACTACAGTAAGATTTAACTATCACTTGGTAATAATCCTGGCACTAGTAAATAGAGATGACTGTAGCCATTTTCCCACTATTCATATCTTTGACATCTTTTAGACTGTAGTTGTGAACACTTGACGCTAAGCAAATATTTTGATGTTTTTTCACTTTTTTTTCTTATTAACCCAATCTTGACAGTTTTACAACATCATTGGCTTAATAAGAAATTTGTCCAATGGCATCTGTTCAGTCTGTGAGCAGAAAATATTTGTGGATACAAATGAAGAAGGGATGACTGAAAATACCCACCAGCTGTCCTGTAATCATACATATCCTTTTCGTGTGATTATGGAACTGTCATTTTCTCCTCTTTTAAGCTGCATTAAAAAGTAATCACAACAGTAATAAATACCAAGGAAAAAAGAAAGCCCCCACATTCAGAAAGAATAAGACAGAAAAGTAAAAATCAGACTATGAGATATATTTCAGTTCTGTGACAAATTGAGTCCATGCCGCTCTTTGACAGATAAACTGAAGCAAGAATGGCAATAACCCTGGAGTTGCATACTCAGATCTACCTTTCAGATACTTCATGCCTGTCTATATTCTGGGGCAGCCCCAGCAAACCAGGCACACTGACCCCTTAGCCAGGTCTTCTAGCTCAGGATCCTACGCACTGCAAAGGACTTCCCATCTATGCCTGGGTCTGTGTGTGACAAGTAGTTTTAAGGCAGGTGTGGAAGCTTCCCCAGAGGATGGCACAGTTGTAGCCTATAGCCTAGCAGAATACGCAGTGGCTGATTCTCAGGGGTCCAAACAGCCCATCACTGTGCACTCCGGAAAACAAGAAAGGCACAGCATTTGTGCTGGAACACTGTCACTAATCACTTCCTCCTGCAGAGCATAAGTCTTCTGGTTTCCTGTGTGCTGGAAAATGACCACTGGTCTGGGTGTTCAGAACTTTGCTTTTTCTAACTATTCTAAATGTTTTAAGCCATTTGAAACTACTGGGTTTTCAAACAAGGCAGTACCCATAATCAGCCATAAAAACTTTCTGTGGATGGTTTCAATACATTTTCAGATTGATGTTCTAAGCCTTGTTTACATTTGAAGGATTTACTGAAAATACACCTGATACCAGGTTTCATGGATTATGCATCTGTGGTTGGTTCAGAGTTGGCAAGAAACAGACTTGCCCATGCTGTGCCAAAAGGCTTGATTTGAAGATGGCGTTGAGTTACTCATATCCTTTCCCTAACAAGTGTGCTTTCGATTTGAATTTTCTAAACTGTGGCCTGATTACTTGCTAATTCTTGTTTTGATCTGCAGTGGAGGGATGAGATGGCCACATCAAATGAATGGAAAAACAACTATTATTAAAGAGCAATTATATTTAGGGAAGATGATAGTTTGTTTGGCTTTATCCTATGTAAAATCCAAGCAAGCTAAAAAAAAAAAGTATGTTTATATCTTCCTCCTTGATTTTAAGACGTTCTTAAATAATTTATATAATGAGAGGAGTGTTTTAAAGTATGTAAAGTATGTAAAGATTTAGGACTATGCAGTGGCTTTTGTTCTTTAAATAATGAGATTGGTATAACCCACTTTCAGAACAAGTGCTATTTTTCCCCTCCTCTTAGTAAACTACATTTTTTCTCCAGCATAAGAAATATCTGTTGAAGATTTGCTGCTGTATCTGTAGAAAACTGCTCGAGTTAAAATAAATTTTTTTTAAGTCCATTTTTGTGACTTCACAGTATGTGAGGAGGATATTTAAATTTAATCTTACTCCTCCAAAAAAAAAGTAGTGAAGACAATTCAAAACATTAACCCAATACTTTCTCTTTGACTTCAGCTAAGGAAGACATCAAGACTTACCTACTGGTAATTTTTATCTCCAATTTCCTTAACAACAGATTAGGTGGGAACATGTATTACATGGGCTGACTCTGTAACCAGTTGTAAGCATAGTCCTATACATTAATTACTTCCTATATCTGGAACAGAAGTCAGAAATTAGTGAGAATGCAGAATTGGATATTTTCCTGAGCACTGCCCTATGCATATTTCATGCTTAATTGTAAAAGACCAGATAAAGTAGCTTTTGGTATAGCTGGTTGGTACAATTCTGCTGTGCTATGTACCCTTTTGCAAGATCGGGTCTCTTTCCACATTACAGAAGGACTTTACAGCATATTAGGAAGGCATTTTTTAAAGAAATTGCTGCGTTTAATGAGAAGATTGTGCTAGAAAAAAAGTACTTATTTTCTTATTATACCCATTAAAAAAAAAAAAAAAAAAGGAAGTGCCAATATTTAAAGTTTGTTTCATTGTTAAATACCTTGCTAGTGACTTCTAGCTAAAATTTTTACAGCAGGAAGTTGTGTAGCAGATAAGAAGAATTTTAAGTTAGATAATGGCTTTGTATACATCAAAGTCTGAAACATAGCACCCAAATAGTTTCATCATCTTATTAATGTAAGGTAATGTAAGATTACTTTTAGATTTTTTTCTTTTTTTTCCCCTTGCCTCTTACAAGAGCTGCTGTGCTGTAATTCCTGCATATCCCAATGTCCACTTGTAGAAAGACCTAATCACAGTAATGGTCATTATATGCTTGATAGTCACATAGAACTCTCTGTGGAGGAAAAGCTACCTGAAATTTTGGCAAATATTTCCTGTTGCAGAGGTAGCTGGAGGTAGGTGTCTGTTGGTAGAGGAAATGCTGGTCTAACTGCTTGTACTGTGAAGGCAGTGGAGAATGCAGAAGACTTTTCTCTTTTGGCCTTTACACATACACTTGTTTTGATGTTCAGTTAGTTATGGGCTGCCTTAACTTCTAATAATTGAGCCCCTTCCCTTTTTTTAATAAGTGCATGTTCAGAATTAGAACATGTGATATTCACTGACTTTAAGGACAAATCATTTTGCCTGCTCTATTTCTGAACTTCTTGTAGCATCCAAAGTGATTTCCTCCTTATTTAAACTAAAATACAGTATAATTAGATTAAGTGTTGGGAAGGAATTCTTTACTCAGAGAACAGCAAGGCATTGGCACAGGCTGCCCAGAGAAGCTGTGGATGCCAGGTTGGATAGGACTGTGAGCAGCCTTTCCTACTGGAAGGTATTCCTGACTATGGCTGAGCTTTGGAACTAAGTGGTCCTTAAGCTCCCTTCCAACTCAAGCTGTTCATGATTCTATCATCTAACCCCAGATAAAGTAATAAGTACTGTAAACGTTTCCATGGGAAGCCTTTCAAGATTTGCTTCTGTGCATACCTGCCAATGTCAGTCCCAAGAACATTATGCCTAAACACTGACCTGATCAAGCAGACAGTTAGTTATTAGGCTGACCAGATTGAAGCTGTTAAGGTTTGGCTGAAACTCTCTGCACCTGCAGGACAGGTGCCACCTGAGACTCCCCTTCATTTTCGGATGACATCTGAAGGAAGAGCTTGGTGGTGGTGTCTCTGTTTACTCCACTTCTTCAGCAGTTACAATCCTTGTCCCAGCCATCTTCCTAAGATAACATGAGCCCATCCAACAGTGTTTGAGGTGGGAAAGTCTTCAGCTGCTCTGGCTTTGTGGAACTAAGTTGCAGAGAAAAAGAGGTGAGGAACACCTTTAAACAGAACTGCTTTAGGTAAGACAGCTGATTAAAATGCTTAGAAAAGTCATGATCACAGAGACAAGAAGAGTACAATTTCAAAGCAAGTAACAGCAATTACAGTAGCTCAGACCTCTGTTAGATACAGCTAGATAAAGGCACAAAAAGGCAATGGAAATAAATCCAGAAGAGGATGGGTAGGGACTCAGTTTTTAATGATCCTATCTAGGCTTTGAGAGCTGCTTTCAAGTTCTCCCAAAACATCGGCTGTTGCTCTTCATCAGGAGGCCACTCCAGGTAGGTCTTGGTGTTCATTATCTTGCGCAGCTTGCAGAACCTCTTGGGGATCGCCTGGCTCTGGATGGGCTCCAGCAGGAGGAGGATCGCCGCGTCGTTGTTCTCGTCAAAGAGGCGAAAGTGCGAGAAATCCAGCTCGTACTTGCACCACTCGCTCTGCACAAAGTGCTCCGACAGCACAAAGAGCGTCTTGTGGCTCTTCTCGATGGAGTCGATGATGTTGTCCACAATCCACTTCCCGGGCACAAAGTCCCGCTTATGGAGGCACAGCCTAAAGGGTGGACACGCCTGCTCCAGCTGCTGCACCATGATGTTTTCCACCCAGTTGGAGTCGTTCTCACTGTAGGAGACAAAGGCGTCGTAGCAGACGTCTTTCGCGGGGGCTCGCTTGGGCTTCCGCTTGGCTTGGAGCCATGCCCAGGTCATTCTCATGTACCAGACCGCATGGTACTTGTACCCGATGACCACCAGGATCAGGATGAACAGGAACGTCAGAATGCAGATCAAAGACACCAGGAAGGACCGGTGGCACTCCATCAGCGACAGCCGCACGCTCCCAACCTGTGCCCCTCGCACCGCCAGCGGAGAGTCGCAGATGTAGCTTTCTGGCCACCCCACAAGCGCCTGGGTTATCCCTGCCTCACGCTGAAGGAAGGAGAGGAATTTGCACGAGCAAATGAAGTTGTTGGCGCTGGCATCCAGCAGCTCCATTTGCTTGAAGGACTCAAACTCTTCCTTGGAGAAGCTGTTGAGCTTGTTTCTGCTGATCGACATGGCCACTAAGTTAGGAATGCCTGCAGCTTCGGGCAAGGTCTTCAGATGGTTCTCTGTCAGGTACAGCTCCTTCAGATTTGGCAGTTGCAGACCAAAATCCTGCAGGTTGTTAGCACTAACGTCCAGCACTTCAAGAGTTGTGGGAATGCAACGTGTTAATTTGGGAATTTGAGTGCTGGAGAGATTCAGGTATTTCAGGTTTGCAGGCCATTTACACACATCTGGAATCTCACCAAAATTATTTTCACTGATGTCTAAGAGAGTTAGGTTTCTTAGATGAAACAAGCTTCTACCTGTCATTTCTAAGTCACTCAATGAATTCTGACTAAGATTTAGAGTTTGTAATGAAGGCCATGCGCCCTGACAGGCCGAATGCTCCAAACTCTGATCGCCAAGTAAATTTGCACTAAGGTCAAGATACTCCAATGACAGAAGTTGTTGTGAAAGTTTGCATGGTACCAGAAACACCTTGGTATTTTCAACTGTGACTCTCCTAAAAAGAGATAGTAGATTTAGTACAGACTGGAGATCTGTAAACAAATAGAATTCTTCTATAGATAAATTTTCTATTGTCAGAACCCTCAGAGATTGTGACTGCTTTGCATGAATTTGTGTATACCACTGACCAGTGCCCAAGAGTGTACAGTCTTTCATCTCCACCTCCATTAATCTTGGCATGCCTTCTAAAATGCTGACAATCACAGGTACAGTAGCATCTGTAAATAAGCACTGTTTTAAAGATATTTTCTTTGCGAAAGAGGAAGACATAATTCTCAAAAGTTGTATTTTTTCAGGAACACTGAATGCTAGTTTTCTTACATCTAACCAAATGGCAGAGTGCAGAAGGTCCCTGATGACTGCTGAGAATACATCAATCCTTCGTACGCTTATGATCATGTGATTTATCTTCCTAATCGATTTCAGACTTCCAGGTTCGTACTGACTGAGATTGCCACCGTCAATCTTCAGCATGTTGAGAAACGGAATGCCCTCAAAGTTTCCTTGCCTGATGATGGAGAAGTGTGGGTTGCCCAGGTGGAGGGAGTTCAAGTTTCTCAGGCTGGAAAAGGGGGAACTTTCTCCCAGGTCGCTGTAGGAATTGCCTTGAATGCGGAGGTGCTGGAGCGAGAAAAGGGGCCCAAACCACACCGGGGACAAGTGAGCCAGGCTGTTATTTGACAAGTCCAAGAGCTCCAGTTTCCCCTGGGAGGCAAACGAGTCCTCGTCTATGGAGCTGATTTGGTTGGACTGCAGCAGCAGGGCTCTCAGGTTCACAGCCTGCTGCAGATCATGCGCCCGGATCAGCTTTATCCTGTTGTGGGCCAGGTTTAACACCGTGATTTTGCCCGTGAGCCCCGAGGGAATGAAGTCCAAACCCATGGAAGAGCAGTTGCAAGACTGAGTGGCATCGCATGAAAGACAGGCCTGTCCCAGGGCTTGTTCTTCAGGGAGGTGTGCAGCCAAGACTATGTAGATCACCCACACTTTCCAAGTATGCATAGTTGTTTTATTTTGCCTAAATTTTGAAATATCTACAAAATACAAGATGATTACTTAGTTTTGGAGTAGCTACACTTTGGATATAGCTAAAACACAGTCCCTCTTACTTTTCTGTCTTTCTGAAGACACTATGAAAACGTTTGTTTTTAATGCATTTCACGGATTAATTACATTATTTCACACACACACACAAATAGCTTATTGTACCTAAATATTCCAAAATAATTTGCTAAATGCCAATTACATTAAATTAACTCTTTTCTTTCTCCACCGTGTTCTCAGTTTGAGTGAGTACTGTCAAATGAATGGACAGCTGCACATATTTTTCAGATTTAGCTAGAGACCTGAATAATTGCTATATTATTACAAATCCAATCCCATTTAGAAATATTTAATATTCATTCAAGCATATGTCTAATCTCACTTCTGATGGTACAGAGAAGAATATATTTCAACTACTTTCTTCTGCCTTTGGCTATCCCTGGCATATATCTGCTAGAAGCAGAGAGATATGTCTGTGTAGTCTATCATTATCATGTTGTGAGCAGTCTAATAATTGAATCTGAAACACAAGCTGGTAGAACTGACCATTACAATTTGCTGAGTCCTAGATTTTCCTTTTTATTGCCATATCCTCCCCTCCGCTAGGGATTTTTTCTGCTTTGGATCAGAGGTTCTGGGTGCTTCCTGCAGGTCAGGTCAGTTGGCTGGAATAGATCCACTTCTCTTTCCAGCCTCACAGCCAGTTCCTTGTGATCTGAATTGAAATGATTTGAGATAACCCCCACAGTTGTAGGTGGATTCTCTCACTTTTCTTTCTCCTCACTTTCATACCTTTCATTATACTGATTACGTGGTTTTTTTTGTATTGCAGAGCATACCAAAATACCAAAATGCCCAGCTTGACCTCACTTCCAACAAAGAGACGTTAGCTAGTTTCTTTGAGGAACTAGAATAAAACAATTCTTTAAGCCAGGAAGGGCAGTTTTCCCCTAAAAATACTTATTGTATGTTGTATTTAGAACCTTTTTTTTTGTTTATGCTTTCTTGGCAAGGATCAAAAGAGCACTTTTAAAGTATGAGATAACGTTTCCCAGTGTGTCACAGAATCCTTGCCAGAGAGGTTGGCACTTTACTGAGGGTCAAAAGAGTGAACCATCTCCAAAGAGACAAATGAACTGTTCCCAAAGGTTAGATTGACTCACAGAGGAGTAATTTCTCCTTCAGTCATCCCACTGAGATACTGTGCAGAAGAACTACTGTACTCAGAATTCGTACCCCAGTTTGTTTTACAGTAGCTTACCCAAATAGGCAAGTTCATATAGACAAGTCCTCCTGTTCTAGTTGCATTATTTGAGCTAGAGTTGCTTAAAATCACTCAAAAGGGGCAGAACTAGATGAAGTTGTTTGGACATACAGAGACAAGAGGAAAGGATGTGGTTCATTTTTCAGATCCTTCCATCTCTTCCCACCTAAAAAAGACGACAAGTATTTTGACTTCGTGCTCTATTTTCCCTCAATCTCTGTCTTTTTCTGATGTAGAGATTTCAGTCTTGGAGGACACAATAATCTCCCCAGACTTTAAAGCTGTGGTCACTCACCATGTACTTCAAGGTCACTGAAGAGAAATAACAGCTTTTAGGGGCAATTCACATCCTGTCTTGTAGACACGTAATAAGATACGATACCTCCAAGAAAAATTATACCATAATCTTAAATGAAGATCCCTTGTATAGCTGTCTAGCTGTTTAGGCAGGTGAATCCCATCCAAAGTTACAATCTATAGTCACACTCACCTGCTGTCCAGATGAGGCTTTTTTATGGGGCTTCTTTGATTATGTGAAGCTGGCTGGATAACACAGTGCTGTAAGGCAATAGCAGAAAAAGCTACAGTGTCATGAGCAAAAAAGCTACAGTTTCATGAGCAACACATTCAAGTGTGATTACTAAAATAATAGCAAGCCTAAGGTGGCATCAAGCTGCACACTAGTTAGGAAAAGGGGTAATAATTAAAAAAAAACACAACCAACTAGGCAGCATGATCCATCAAAATCTATCTAAAGGTTGGTTATGTACAGATTGAAAATTGGCAGAACAAAAGGGAACTGGACAGGTAACACACTGGAAACACTTGGCTGAGCCAAACAACTGGCAGGGAGGGCAGGAATAAATTCAGTTTGGTGGTACAGTAGGAATTTTTCTACCCTGTCACTACCCCGAGTGTCTTTTCCAGGTTGTTTTGACTGTCTGTCCCATGGGGGCACTCTTGGAAACTCCTTTCCTACTCTCATTCATTTTCAGCCATTCTCTTCCCATTCCTGTCTTGTAAGCCTGCTTCCTGACTTCCAGGGTCCTTCTCTGGCCCCTCCACACCCATTCAGAAACATTTCCCCGCTCCACTTACCACCCTATTAAGGAATCACTTTTTCCCTTTTGTGATGGATACAGAATAAATTGCCACATAGAAGCTGAAATACAGGTAATATGTGAAAACTTTCACAGATAACACTTGTACCATAAGGCATCATAATGAATTAAATTCCCAAAGTGTTTCTGGTTTACAGACAAAGATAATCCAGGCACATTCAAGGTTATTCTTCCTAGACAAAAGTAGTAGAAGTATAGGAACATATTCCTAAACAAAACCATGAGTGTCAATAGAGCAAGGTTCTGTAAATGCTAATAGATGCTAAATGTAAAAGTGCATGCAAATAGCGTGCAAATTGATTCTAGCTTGGGAAGCAGCATCAAGCTAAAAGAGGGGTATTAAATTCTAGAAACGCTACAGAATGCAGTCTGAATCAATGCACAAGCAGACTGGGAAAATCGTTGCCTCCCACTCGGTTGTGCACGTATTACACACATCCTGGTTATGCATCAGTAGCACATATGTGTATATGCGTACACACACATGTAAAGCGATGGTGATAGCAGAGTGAAGTAAGGAGCTAGCTGACCCCCCCTGTCCTGAGACATTGCCTACTGAGCTCCTTCTTGTTGGATTCCTAAAACAAAAGCAGCCCATGTTCACATTTCTCCTTCCCTGGGCAGTTGGCAGTGACGTACAAATGGGACAACACATGAACTGGACAAAGCACACACAAGGCATCCTTCCAAGAGGAAACTGAGCACAAGTGACACAGCCTGACCCAGCTTGTCTCTTTTTCATGAGCTGCCTTACTCCTTCCCTGTTTCCTGAAGGACACTGCTGCTGGTACTCCCAGGGAGTGTTCCACTCAACACTTGCCTGCTACGCAGCCCTGCCAGCTGCCTGTAATTGCTCCTACCATCTCCAATGCTGGCAGCCAGAAATTCCTTCCCACTATGCCCTCCAGGAGGTAGCCCCTGCCCAGCACCCAAGCACCCTGCATCTCCCACACTGAGGAGGAAGACTTGGTGGCAGAGGTTAGATAGTCCAGTGCACCCTCCTCACTTCTCACAATGGCGTCTCTCTCTTTCTCTGAACCTCCAGCCTGCAAACTCACCTCTGTGCAGAAACCATTCCCTGGTGCTCCATCTCGAGTGCGTGCATGCTGCTTATCCTGCTTTATGTTTCTTCTCTCTCTTGATGACTGCTCTTCACCCAGCTTCCTCTCATGTGGCTGTTTCCTTCCCACTTCACTTCTCAGATTCAGCTATGTATGTGGGGTAATGCCTATGTGGAGGATCTGATTGGCACAAAATCAGTAATGTTGTTCATCTTCTTTAAATGAGTGAGTCCATGAAATGTGGGCTTGTGGTAAGAGCACATCACAAAGTCAATTCCACCTATTTCCCTCCTTATCTCTTAGGCACTCAGCCTCCCAGTCACTTTTATCTATGCTCAGTGTTTGCTACCACATGACTCACTAGTCACTTGCCAAAAGTTCAGATCTGACTGGCCCTTGTGCTATTTTGATCCAACAGAGTGAACTGAAAAATGCAGACTTTGGACCAACCCTACAGAAGTCATTACACCAGGAAACTAGAACTGAAAGCAGGGTATGCACCATGCTATACCCTCAGAAAATGTAATCTCGTGTGTGTGCATATTCATACACATATGAATAACATACACACAGAAGCATGGGTACGTAAGTATACACACACAAGTATATGTGAGTACATACAAATACACCCACAGAGACACACGTGTACAAGCAGATTTCCTTATTTTCCAAATACACTCAGCTCATACACCCATACTTTTACATTCCATCACAAACCAATTGCCTGCAACACCATCTAGCCCACTCATTAGAAACACCTGCTTATGGCCCACAGTCAGCTACTTCTCTTCTCAGGCAGAAGAAAGCACGGTAGCCACGAAGGGAGAAGCAAGCCTTTACAGGGAGAAAGAAGCCTAAGAAAGTAAAACAAACATTGATTTAATGCCCCTGGATTTCACCACAGTCATTGTCCAAGGTGCCAGGATGCTTCCTTATAAGTATCGTGCAAAACCCACTCTGTACGTGGGGGTACAGACTCCAGAATAATTATCCAGACTTGTGATAGATGTTTTATTCAGTGCTGCCTGTTCTGTGTTGCACAACACTGGTAAGGCTTCAGAGGCATATTTCAATGTAAAATCTCACTTTTTCCACACAAGGTAATTTTAATTGTCTTCTATCTTGAATGGCACAGAAAAAGAAAATGAAAGAAGAACTGACGTGGAGGTATTGAAGCCTTTGGCTTTTATTATTGACTGTCAATTACGATGGAATTGTTAGGAATTAATCAGTGATATGGCGACAGCAGGAAAGAGTATAGAAAAGCACTAAGAAGATCAGCTAATTTATTTAGAAAAGTATCCAAAGTCCAGCATGACTCTCAAATATAACTGCTACTGACAAGGATTTTGGAAGACGAGAACATCAAATTAAAAAAAAAAAAAGCCTGATGTTGCTCTTTTTCATTTAGTAACGTAACACATTTATCTATCCACAGGAAAGCCAGTTCTCATTAGGCATACAAAATTAAACATCTTAGAAAGAAAAAGCATTGACCATTGTGGAAATACACTGAAACATTCATATACATTCCTCTGTGCTCATGCTCCAACAACACAAACTTAGACAAAGTCACATGCAACTTTACCCTTCAGACAAATTCAGGTTGCCACAAGACTCACTAAAAAAGTGAAACTCATCATAAAAATATAGAATATATATATGCAACATACATGTACAAGAGCATATATACATAATCTCATATATCTGTAAATATACATGAACATACTTTACAGGGAGTAAATATACTGAAACAGGAACAACTAACTTGTCCTACGATTTCAAGGCTGCCTTCAAGTTAGGGTAGAATTAGATTAAGTGTTGGGAAGGAATTCTTTACTCAGAGAACAGCAAGGCATTGGCACAGGCTGCCCAGAGAAACTGTGGATGCCAGGTTGGATAGGACTGTGAGCAGCCTTTCCTACTGGAAGGTATTCCTGACTATGGCTGAGCTTTGGAACTAAGTGGTCCTTAAGCTCCCTTCCAACTCAAGCTGTTCATGATTCTATCATCTAACCCCAGATAAAGTAATAAGTACTGTAAACGTTTCCATGGGAAGCCTTTCAAGATTTGCTTCTGTGCATACCTGCCAATGTCAGTCCCAAGAACATTATGCCTAAACACTGACCTGATCAAGCAGACAGTTAGTTATTAGGCTGACCAGATTGAAGCTGTTAAGGTTTGGCTGAAACTCTCTGCACCTGCAGGACAAGTGCCACCTGAGACTCTCCTTCATTTTCGGATGACATCTGAAGGAAGAGCTTGGTGGTGGTGTCTCTGTTTACTCCACTTCTTCAGCAGTTACAATCCTTGTCCCAGCCATCTTCCTAAGATAACATGAGCCCATCCAACAGTGTTTGAGGTGGGAAAGTCTTCAGCTGCTCTGGCTTTGTGGAACTAAGTTGCAGAGAAAAAGAGGTGAGGAACACCTTTAAACAGAACTGCTTTAGGTAAGACAGCTGATTAAAATGCTTAGAAAAGTCATGATCACAGAGACAAGAAGAGTACAATTTCAAAGCAAGTAACAGCAATTACAGTAGCTCAGACCTCTGTTAGATACAGCTAGATAAAGGCACAAAAAGGCAATGGAAATAAATCCAGAAGAGGATGGGTAGGGACTCAGTTTTTAATGATCCTATCTAGGCTTTGAGAGCTGCTTTCAAGTTCTCCCAAAACATCGGCTGTTGCTCTTCATCAGGAGGCCACTCCAGGTAGGTCTTGGTGTTCATTATCTTGCGCAGCTTGCAGAACCTCTTGGGGATCGCCTGGCTCTGGATGGGCTCCAGCAGGAGGAGGATCGCCGCGTCGTTGTTCTCGTCAAAGAGGCGAAAGTGCGAGAAATCCAGCTCGTACTTGCACCACTCGCTCTGCACAAAGTGCTCCGACAGCACAAAGAGCGTCTTGTGGCTCTTCTCGATGGAGTCGATGATGTTGTCCACAATCCACTTCCCGGGCACAAAGTCCCGCTTATGGAGGCACAGCCTAAAGGGTGGACACGCCTGCTCCAGCTGCTGCACCATGATGTTTTCCACCCAGTTGGAGTCGTTCTCACTGTAGGAGACAAAGGCGTCGTAGCAGACGTCTTTCGCGGGGGCTCGCTTGGGCTTCCGCTTGGCTTGGAGCCATGCCCAGGTCATTCTCATGTACCAGACCGCATGGTACTTGTACCCGATGACCACCAGGATCAGGATGAACAGGAACGTCAGAATGCAGATCAAAGACACCAGGAAGGACCGGTGGCACTCCATCAGCGACAGCCGCACGCTCCCAACCTGTGCCCCTCGCACCGCCAGCGGAGAGTCGCAGATGTAGCTTTCTGGCCACCCCACAAGCGCCTGGGTTATCCCTGCCTCACGCTGAAGGAAGGAGAGGAATTTGCACGAGCAAATGAAGTTGTTGGCGCTGGCATCCAGCAGCTCCATTTGCTTGAAGGACTCAAACTCTTCCTTGGAGAAGCTGTTGAGCTTGTTTCTGCTGATCGACATGGCCACTAAGTTAGGAATGCCTGCAGCTTCGGGCAAGGTCTTCAGATGGTTCTCTGTCAGGTACAGCTCCTTCAGATTTGGCAGTTGCAGACCAAAATCCTGCAGGTTGTTAGCACTAACGTCCAGCACTTCAAGAGTTGTGGGAATGCAACGTGTTAATTTGGGAATTTGAGTGCTGGAGAGATTCAGGTATTTCAGGTTTGCAGGCCATTCACACACATCTGGAATCTCACCAAAATTGTTTTCGCTAATATCAAGATTAATCAGTTTGTGTAGATTACTTATATGTTTTGCAGCCTGTTCTAGTGATTTCAGAGAATTTTTACTTAGATTTAGAGTTTGTAATGAAGGCCATGAACCTTTACAGATTGTCTCAACTAAGCGATTATTTACAAGCAAATTATCGCGGAAATCAAGATATAAAAGTGATGAAAAATATCTTGCCAGTCTGCATGGTACCATGAAGACTTTAGAACTTGCAATGCTGAGTCTTTTCAGCTTATCTACTTGTGTCTCTATACCTTCCAGATCAAAGAACAAATAAAAATCCAGAATAGTCATATTTGTTACTGATATTGTTTCAACAGAACTTTGCCCACTTCTTGCAATTTCTTTTGTATCCCATTCTCCTTTCCCCTCAAGCACACAATCTATTGCTTCTAACTCTCTCAAAGATGTGATTTCCTTCAATAACACTGCTATTCGGCTAATGTATTGATCTGTGAATGAAGCACCAGTAAATGTGAGTTTTTGTATAGTTGAAGGAAGAGTAGAGTTCTGAATTAGTTTTTCATTTTCAATATCTAATTTGATCTCTCTAACTTCTAACCAAATGGCAGAGTGCAGAAGGTCCCTGATGACTGCTGAGAATACATCAATCCTTCGTACGCTTATGATCATGTGATTTATCTTCCTAATCGATTTCAGACTTCCAGGTTCGTACTGACTGAGATTGCCACCGTCAATCTTCAGCATGTTGAGAAACGGAATGCCCTCAAAGTTTCCTTGCCTGATGATGGAGAAGTGTGGGTTGCCCAGGTGGAGGGAGTTCAAGTTTCTCAGGCTGGAAAAGGGGGAACTTTCTCCCAGGTCGCTGTAGGAATTGCCTTGAATGCGGAGGTGCTGGAGCGAGAAAAGGGGCCCAAACCACACCGGGGACAAGTGAGCCAGGCTGTTATTTGACAAGTCCAAGAGCTCCAGTTTCCCCTGGGAGGCAAACGAGTCCTCGTCTATGGAGCTGATTTGGTTGGACTGCAGCAGCAGGGCTCTCAGGTTCACAGCCTGCTGCAGATCATGCGCCCGGATCAGCTTTATCCTGTTGTGGGCCAGGTTTAACACCGTGATTTTGCCCGTGAGCCCCGAGGGAATGAAGTCCAAACCCATGGAAGAGCAGTTGCAAGACTGAGTGGCATCGCATGAAAGACAGGCCTGTCCCAGGGCTTGTTCTTCAGGGAGGTGTGCAGCCAAGACTATGTAGATCACCCACACTTTCCACATCAGCTTAGTTGCTGGTTTCTGTTTACTTTGGTTGAACATTTTGCTGTAGTTAACAGAAAGGATAAATGCGGAGTTTTGAACTTGTTTTTGGATAGCAACTTGTAACAATTAAAATCCTGTGCAATTTTATTAGGAAGGAATTTTATTAGGATTATTTTTATCAGATTCAAACTTTATCTGTAAGAGATCCATTGATGTTTATCTTTCTCTCCTATTTCAGCTGCCTAAACTTGAAAACATGGCAAGCCATTTGTTTCAGAGTTACAGCCACATAGTGTGTCAGCAGCCATGAAGGCCATTCTGAAAGTCCTTCATGCAGACATCTACTACAGCCCCTGCCTCGTCACTCTTTCGTGCCTCGTCACTCTTTCGCATTACATCCTCTCACAGGAACAAAGCTTCAATGCTATGTCTCAATCCTCAGCAGGAAAAGACAGTTAGAAACACAGCCATTGCAGTACTAGTCTGTCAGCCGGGTGCTGCCACCAGGAAGTCACAAGCCAGAAATCAAAAAAGGCATCGGACTGACTTGCAGTTCACGCCAGCCCTTTGAGACTCTGGGGCTTACCATGTGGCAAACCTTGCTGAAGAGATCCTGGGGTCTCCCACAGCAGAGCCTCAGGGCTTCTAAAGAGCAAAGATGAGTGCACTCCTGGCACACCCTTTTAAACACTCTGCAAGCAATTTACTTTCTTTATCAGAAAGGCTGAACAAGCTGATACCCAATCCAACAACTCTGCCCTTTTTGGTAAATCAATGTTGGGAACAGATGAGAATTAGACATTACCACCACACCATCAACTAACGTAATTGGAACAATACTGATTTTAATTTACAGAGGGGCTGTGTTTTCCTGCTATTGGTGCCCAAGAACATTTCACTATTGGTTACACCAGAAAATAAATCACTTATTAAAGCTTACAAGCCTGCTGAAAACAGTTTTGGTACTGCAGAAAAACAGCATCCCCCAGTCCTGGGTCTGCCAAGAGTAAATACTTACGCCTTGTGTACTGAGCATTGAACTTCTCTTTCTTCATATACCAATCTTGTATGGTTCACGTAGTCATCTCATATCTGCAATTACAACAAAAGCTGCAATCCTATGGAAGGTCTGGAGCTACAAAATATTCCCGCCTGTGCACCTTGGAGAAAAGTTAGTGCTGACAGCTTTCCAATGCCCTCTAACTAATCCACGGATCCTAAAGAGCTCAGGATTGCCCACCATGCATGACACTGCCCTTCAGACTCTGCTTTCCGTTACTTCTAGCGCTGCTGCTAAAATGAAAATGAAAACACAAAAAACACAAAAATGAAAACCATTTCTTTGTGCACCTTCTTCCCTGCAAGTTGAAAGAAGCAGATTCCTCTCCTCCTGACAGTCAGTTCTCATCACTGGGAAGGCTGATACAACTATTTTGAACAAGTCATTCTTTCCCAATCACTTCCTGCAGCATTAGGTGCAGAAATAGTTTTGAGGAAGAACAGCATTCTGCTCCCGTCTTTCTACTTTTGATATTTATTGCTTGGTATGCATTGAGGAGTTGTTATCTGTATCTGTATTGATCTGTATTGAGATCTCAGCTTGTTTGGGCTCTGTAAATTATCTGTATCTTGCAACACATGTAAGTTGGAGTCAAGCTGTTTAGTCAAAAAGAGTACTGGAGAAACATTCACCATCCTTTCTTTTCCTAGGATGTTGCAGTCCTAAGTTATCAACAAGTAGAATCACAAGGTGGCTTGGGTTGGAAGGGACCTCAAAGCCCACCCAGTCCCAATCCCCTCTGTGGTGGGTAGGGATGTTCCCCACCAGCTCAGGCTGCCAGGGCTCTGTCCAGCCTGGCCTTGAGCACCTCCAGGGATGGGGCACATACAGCTTCTCTGAGCAACCTGTGCCAGTGCCTCACCAGTAGAAAACACATGAAAATCATAACAATACTAAAAAAAAAAAAAAAGCAACAATACTCAAAAAAAAGACACAGCTTGAATAAAAGCATCCCTCTGTAAATATCCAAGGTGATTTTAAAAGAAGAGACATTTATCCTGACTGAATGGAAATAAATACCTTGTCAAATGGCCAAGCAGGGTGCAGGCATGAAGCCTTCCCAGCACTGAAGGGGAAAACCATTAAATTCAAACTCTGAACTTCCTGACAGCAACTTCCATCTATTTTTTCTGTACTCAGAAATTGCCCTGTTCTGCTGTCTGCTTGCTCTGCGAAATGCTTGCCTACAGACAGACATACTGACTGCAGCCGCCTCCCAGACACCTGCCCGGGCCCAGGTGGCAGCAGATATTCAACCGTGACAAAGTGCAGGGACAAGCTCGATAGCACGCCTCAGTCCCACTGCCTTAAAATTAGCATTGCACATAAGGGTAAAAATTCAGCACTTTCTAAAAGAGGAATTGAAAGAATTGAAAAACCTTGGTGTTTTCTCTTTGTTCCTTAAAACAGATGAAGTGTAACATTTTTAAAGAAATTTTGCTCTGAAAAAGACATGGAGAAAGCTGCAGGACACAGCATTTCAGTGAGGAGATGCCGTGAGATTCCCAAAAGCTGCTGCTTTCCTCTCACATCTCTCAGTGGAATGGCTCTTGTTTTTCAAACAGGGAAGACTTTGGGTTATCAAAACACTTTAAAATGTTAATTTTGAGATTGGTGCAACTAATTCCTGTACATTTTTGCCATCAAAATTGCAACTCCTTGAAAAAGTTTTTTAAAAAGTTCAGTTTGTGAAGAGGTTTGAAGAGACACAAAGGCTCTGTATTTCATTCAGCACATAACAATTTCTTGCATGCTATGGCATCACCACCATGCACCTGTGGCGATCTGAAGTAGGGGTCAGCTTTTGTTTCTTTTCCCATCAGCAACTTCTTCCCAAGGTTCAAGCTCAGCCTGCTCTCAGCACACTTCTAACCTGGGCCTCAGGGGTTTCACTTGTACAGAAAGTATAGGGTGATAATAGACGTAGATCACAGTATGAAACAGAACCTAAGTTTCTGGTTTCTTCCAGAAGGAGAAGGCTACAGGGACCCTGCCCTTCTTCCCTTCCCAAACAGCTTAAAAAGCCAAGAAATGAGAGCGAGAAATCTGCTTGTTTCCATGAACAGGGAAACAAATTCTACATGACTTCTCTCACATTCCAGGAAATCAATTTGTCAGGATTTATCAGGTTATCCAGAGTCAGGGAAGGCCTGAGGATGCCAGAACTGTCCCCTACACTGCCTTGCAGAGGCTAGAAACCAGCAGCTGTCTCCCACAGCATCACTGAGCGCAGTGCAACTTCTTTCAAAATCACAGTGGGAACAAAGCCCTGTCTGACAGCAAGAATACACTTCACCTGCTTTTTCTCCAGAGTAACTGCGCTGAACAAAATTGCATCTTGTGAGTGCTTTCTCTCCTCTTCCATATTCAACATGAAGATATCATTCTCCTTCCTCCTTGCAGTGCTTTGAAGCAGCTATATACCTTGGCCAGTACATCGCTTTTTCCCAGCAGAAGGGCACAGAGCTGCAGCAATCCTGTGCTCTTGCAGAGAGCAGAGACCCTACACAAGCCTGTCAGAAGGCATGCAGAGCTGAGACAGAGCTGCGGATACTGCTTCTAAAGCTTTAGATGTCATCGTGCATCTAGCAGCAGCGCATGCAGCACCCATTTTCCACCACAGGCAGTTCCCTGACCCTAACTCCAGCACTGCGACCCACATCCCTGCTGCTGGCAGGGGCAGTCTCTGACCACAGCCTGCCTCCACCAGGCAGGTCAGGATATATTAGGAGTATGTATTAGCTGGATATGAACCAAAGCTGACATAAAAACATGTTTATACTTTTGCGTGGGACAGAACCCCACAGAAACAGGTGTGCTGGTCAAAAGCCACGAACCAAGCAATGCTAATCTTCAGGTCCTTAGGAGCAGGCTCCAGCTACTGGAGGCCCTTTCATCCTGACAGCATGGTGCTGACCCTCCACAGGTAGATCTCTTTCTTTCAATTGCTCCCCCTCCACACTCTCACCTGAGATGACCCTGCAGCCAGTCCCCCTCTTTCTCCCTTTCCACCTGCATGGCAGTATCCATGCTCTAAACAGCTCTTGTGCTGCTGTTCTTCTGGGAGACTGAGAAACAAGGAGCAAGAGCATGGAGAGGGGGCCTCAACAAGGGCAGGCAACACCCTCCCATAGCATAGTCTGGAAGAAAATGCTGAGGCAGCAGGACAGAGAGGAAGTCCCTGAGGCTGTTGGCCAGCCTGCAGCATTAGCAGAAATGCCTTGCAATCTGCATAGGGCTGCTTCCTGGTGCTCACCCAGTGAACTGCACGCACGGTTGCCAGCAGCAGCAGGGCTGAGCCTGCAGCACCCTCCTCACCCCCTGGAGATGGTCAAACCTGTGCTCACAGCCTCCGGAGCAAGATGTGGAAGGCTTGTGTAATTGGAAGCAGGAGGCTTGGCATCAGTTCACAGGTCTGGGAGCAGAGCCTTGGCATGTACCGCTGGTGCCTGTGCTTTAATCTGCTTCACAGTGCTTCATGTATTCATCTTCGAACTACAAAAAAAAGAAGGAAAAAAAGGAATATTATAATGTAAAATAAGCAATGTTAACTCCATCGTATTCCTTTTCAGGTCTACACTGGCAGTAGCTGAATGCCCAAATCTGCAGGCCCAGGTGAAAAGCAGAAGCACAGATTCCTCTAATTTTCCTTGTGCAATGTCCTCGCCTTGCCACTGTGGCAGAGTGCAGTAACATTGTGCAAGTGGTTGCATACTCCGCAGCCAACCTTTCAGACTGCCCTGTCAAGGAAGCAGTTTTTTTTCCCTCCCCTTGCTCTTACCCTTTCCAAAAGCCTTCAGTCAGAAGAGCTTGAAGCTGATTTGTTGCCCTAACAGAAGGAGGTTTGCAAGCTATGACACAAAGGCTGACACAACACAGAAAGCTCTGCCTTCTGGCATAGCTGCAACAGCATGACTCAGTGGGAAAAAAAGCCTGGATTTTCCTGCTGATTTTTTGCCTCCCAAGGAAGTTGCATCAATACAAGGCAGCTGCACATGAGGGAAGGCTACACAACTTAGCTCCTTTTGTACCTTACATTTTAATAAGCAAACACAGGAAGCTGCGCTATCAGCATCACCTCAATTTGTTACTCCAGCAGAGGACTTGCCTAGTGTGCTGCTCAGTGTGTGCAAACATACCAAGTTAGGCGTGACTGCTCCAAGTACTTCCCAGGGCATCCTGCACCCAGCAAAAGGGTCCCAATGCCCAAAGAGGATAGGCAGGTGGTGGTAGGAAACGAGGGTGTAGCATCCCAGCACTGAGATTTCCTATGAGGAGGAAAGAAGATTTCCCCTGCTCCAAGGCTGGGAATAGGAACATGCGTGCTGAAGCCTTTCACTGCAGGAAAGGCCCAAATGTTAATGTGCTTCCTCAGCAGAGAGGGGAGCGTGGACATGGACCTCATCCTACCTTGATACAATTAAAAAAGTGCTCCTTTTTGGTGGTGGTGGTGTTGAAGAGAAACATTCCTGAGTATAGGATCAAGTTGCAGCAGAACCATTTAGAGTTTGTTTCCTGTATGGAGATGAGAAACACCATGCTAGGAGGCAGAGATACCTCTTTAACTGCTTCTTAGACGACAACAACAAAACAGATCTAACATTTGGACAAGAATCTGAGCAGGAAATGAATCAGCTTATTATCACATACCACTTAAACCATAATACTATCAAGGCTTTTGTATTCATTCCAAAAAAGACACTGCCAGGATCTATTGTGCATGGGCAGTTCAGGCTGTGTTCAGCTGCTGCCTTCCTCCATCTCTGATGCTGTGAGGTATTTAAGATGTGACAGTGCCTTGCAGAAAGAGGAAACCCGATCATCTTGAATTTAGAACATCAGAGCAATTTCTCTGGGCCAGGCACTTTTCTTGATTTATCTGTTGTCTAAGCACCATATTTTTTAAATAATTAGACAAAATCCAGCCTGCTCTCTCCAAGTTCTTGTATACCAAGAAAGTGACAGTTTTGCCGTTTCTGGCAGGGATTATTTCTATAGTTTCTTTTGCATTTGCATAATCTTTGCAAACTAGCTTTTTAGATGCAGTTATAATAACTCAAGAAAAATAATTTCTAATCAAAATAAAAACCATAATAAGATGATGTCAATAATTATTTGAAAAACACATGTCAAGTCTGACAGAGCCACAGAAATATCTTCAAGTCATGAGTTTTTTTCCACTAAAATATGTATTTCTGATTGCTCCCTGACTCTGCAGGCTTGGATATGATTGAGAACAGACATCCTAAGCTAATTTGCAAGTACGCATTTGGCTAACTTGCAAAGCAACTTAGACAGCCTGTAGAGACAGCAGCAGAGAGCTGCAGTAACTCTACAACTTCTGCAGGTCTTTATCATGTGTAGGACACATGACAACACCTGCTTTGGAGTGACTTGGTCCCTAATTTGCAGCTTTTGGTTGAAAGAACAAACAAAATTAGGGAATGTTTTGATGTTGAAGAGCTTGGGGTTAGGAATGATAAAGTTGAGCGTCTGTGGGTAGGGATCAGGGAGAAGGTACATAGGGGCAACATCTTGGTGGGGTCCTGTTATAGACTGCCTAATCAGGGTGAAGGATGGACAAGGCATTCCATGAGCAGCTTGCGGAAGTTGTGTGATTGCCAGCAATTGTTCTCGTGGGAGACTTAAAATTCCCGGATATATGTTGGAAATACAATACAGCGCAGAGGAAGCAGTCCAAGAGGTTTCTAGAGTGTGTGGAAGATAGCTTCCTTACACAGCTGGTACGAGAGACTACCAGGGCTGTTGCCCTGCTGGACCTGCTGGACCTGCTCTTCACTAACAGAGGACTGGTGGGAGATGTAAAGGGTCGGCACTGTCTTGGGCAGAGCGACCACAAAATTGTAGAATTCTGTATTCTTGGAGATGTCAGAAGGGTGGCTAGCAAAACTGCAATCTTGAACTTCCAGAGGGAGGACTTTGACCTGCTCAGAACGCTCTTCAAGATGGCAATCTTAAAGGCACAAGAACAGTGCCAGAAGGCAAGCTGTAGGGGAAGAAGACCAGTGTGGATGAAATGGGAACTATTGTTGAGATTCCGGAAGAAAAAGAGTCTTGCGTCTTCTGGAAGAAGGGTTTGGCTACATGGGGAGATTACAAGGAAGTTGGGCAAAAGCCCAACTTGAACTCAGATTGGCCACTGCAGTAAAAAAGAAATCCTTTTACAAATATATCAACAGCAAGAGAAGAACCCAGGAGAATTTCCATCCTTTACTTGATGCAGCAGGGAATGAGGATAAGGAGAAGGCTGAGGTCCTCCATGCCTTCTTTTCATCTGCCTTTAATAGGCAGATTGGTTATCCTCTGGGCAATTTACGCCCTGATCTGGCTGTGCAGAATACACCCCTGGTGATTCAGGTGGAGACAGTTGGAGAGCTCCCCCTCCATCTGGACTGTCACAAGTCCATGTGACAAGTCCAGCATTCTCCTGGGGAAACTGGCTGTCTGTGGCCTGGACAGGTCTACCCTTCTTTGGGTAAGGAACTGGCTAGAGGGCCATGACCAGCAGGTAGTGGTTAATGGAGCTAAGTCCAGCTGGCGACCCGTTTCAAGTGGTGTCCCCCAGGGCTCGGTACTGGGGCCCATCTTTACTGATGATCTAGATGAGGGCATTGAGTGCACCCTCAGTAAGTTTGCAGATGACACCAAGCTGAGGGAGCTGGGATTGTTCAGTGCGGAGAAGAGGAGGCTCAGCGGAGACCTCACTGCACTGTACAGCTTCCTGAAGGGAGGTTGTGTGAGGAGAGGCTTGGCCTCTTCTTCCAGACAACAAACAGGATCAAAGGAAACAGGCACAAGCTGTGCCAGAGGAGACTTAGATTAGACCTATTTCTCTCAGAGAGTGGTCAGGTGCTGGAATGGCTGCACAGGGAGGCACAAGCAGAGCTCTGTTCCTGGAAAAGCTCTCCACACCCTCTGGCCCACAGGCTGCACACCTGCCTGCCTTTCAGCTTTGCACTTACACAAGTGTCAGCACACAAATCCCTTTCTGTTTATACAAGTTATGCAATGTTTGTGTTCCTTTCATGTGCTATTATTATGACATCATTTTAAATTGATTTCCTGTGTGTTCCATGATTAACAGTCTCAGCAAATGTACTTTAAAATCAGCCCCTCAGAGTACTTTATTTCCCTAGGTTGGTTCCTTGTGCTCTTTGTTCCAGCTCATCTCTGGGAGCCACAATCCATGCACAGCACTGAGATGCATGACGCTGTATTGGGAGGATTTCCCTCCTGACATTCACTCCACTGCACATATGTCTTCATCGGCAACAGTGGTGTTTGTGCAGCCTTCCACTTTTAATAGATACTGTTCAAGTCATTAACAAAAATGCAAAAAAAAAAAAAAAAAAAAAAGTGGTAGATGGGACAGAAAGGGCAAAGGCTGGCTGCACTCCTCTCCCCTGCTGTTCAGATGTCCTAGAATCACCATAGAATCATTTCAGTTGGAAGGGACTTCTAAAGGCCATCTAGTCCAATCCCCCTGCAATACATAGGGACACCTACAGCTAGATCAGGATGCTGAACTTTTCTGTAATTTGTGTAATGTTTAAATTTCCTCATAAAATAAGTATTCCTTACACTCCCCCCTGTGAAGCACACGCTGAGTGGCCCTGCTTCTGCATGGGAGCCATGCAAGGAGCTAGCAAGTGGCTTGCTAGGCAGAAAGCTATGAGCCCTATGTCTTGCTGCATACCAGGATGGCATTGACAGCACTGTCAGTGTCATCGCTCCCACCTGTTTTGGCTCCGCACAGCTTCTGCAGAACAGCCTGCTGGTGAACTGCTCTGCCATTTGCACCCCATAGGAAGTCCCCAGAGAAGCCCACATCCCCCAGAAAGGGACCTCGTCACAAAACAATCCCACTCTATTTGCTTTCTATGATGGTGGTGGCACAAGGCCAAGCATTGGTGCTACCAAAGCTAACAAGCAGGCCAAAACTTCCCTCCCTTTGCCAGAGAGTCATTCCAGGCCTGCCAAGCTTTCTCCTGTGGCCATGCAGAAGGAGGTTTGTGTCAGCACCTATCTGCAGGAAGGAGGCAGGCTCTCTGGCTAACAGCACTAAAGCACTCGAGGGCAAGGTGCCAGCCTTGCTGGGCGGCTCCCTCCTCCATTTGCCATTTTTCACTTGGGTGGTATGCTTTGGCTCTATGTCCTCGGTAAACATCATAGAACACCAAAACAAGGAAACAAAAAAATGAAAGGA